AAAATACTTCCAAGCCTTTATTTGGCAAAAACAAAGTAGCAAACTAGGTAGCACTCCAGAGCTCAGAACATGAGGGAAACAAAGACAATCTGGCAAAGACCAAAGGAACAGGTGGGGTGATATACAGAGTAATCAAACACAGGTGCAACACATTAGGGCGGGGCAAACAAATCACAGGCAGGAAGCAGGGAGTGATGTAAATCTAAAGCATAGCGAACAGGTAAGTATTTCAAAATAAAATGTCCAATAAACCAGGGGTATGACAATACTTTTGACGCATGCACATTTTAACCATCTTTTAACCTCAAATCATATCACAAAGTCATGCGCTTTTCCCCCCAGTGAGCTGATGAGATCATACAAGTGTGACGGCTGCTTTAAGAAACCCAGGGTGTTGGGAAGTGATACTCCGGGCCCGTTTCCCCTTCTCCCTTTATACTCTGCTGAGCCAACATGACCCATGTCTGTCTCTTTGTAGCCACAACAAAATCCAAGTGAGCGCCAGTCGTGCAAAATTCATATTTAGAAAGGTCACGATTGTGCTTGTGTGAATAGCTGGCTCCCTGGATACCCCCGGAGCCCTGTCAACCTCCACATTTAACATTACATATTTGGGCTGATTCAATACACGTCTGCTGAGCTACTCGAGCGAAGGGATTTCTTAGGCGTTTGTAAAGTCAAATACACACCCCACTGGTGTGCCTATAAGAGCCTTTCCATTACGCCTTTTCAAACAGAGCCCTGAGCTGTCCTGTCACTGTGATGAGAAGGACTTGGTAGTATTGAAAATGAGACAAATTGGATTCAAGCTCAAGCGGGAGATTATATAATTGGGTTTATCATGCTGAGAAGTTCACTCCTGCCCTCTACAGCTTTTACAAAATATTTCAGCTTCTAGTATACTGTTTGATTTCATATTTCAAGCATGTTGAGTGGTCTTATCATAATTATTTTGACAACTCCGTTACTCATTCAGCCAAGAGCTCATAAACCATTGACGACTGTGTGAAAAAGGTTGCTCTTCGTTCTCTATTGTGTTCTTTTGCCTCCTCCAATTCAGTGTGAACTATTTTATCTTCAAATCGAATTGACCAACGTAAAGGCATTTCCCACTTTTCTCTGTCATCTGTGTCTGCCGGTACTCTGCGTAAACACATTTTTCAATATCGGAAAGGTTTTTGAACTTGTGTGTTTTCTCAAAGTTTGATCATTTACAGTATGAGAAGAAGTATATCCAAGGCACTCCATAATCCGAATTGTTGTATTGCCATTGCAAGTAACATGAAGTCGCACATCAGGAATTTGCTTTGGTAAATGGTACAGACAAGTTATAAAGGTTTTTTTTGTCAGACAATTTTGGTCTTGTCCCTGTGCGCCTCACGGAGAAACCGCCATTTTTGTCCAAATACCTCTCACAGGAAATTAATTTGACTTGTATTAGGGGAGCATGATTCAAAATTGGAGACATGCAAAAAATAGGGGGGTCAAATGGTTTGAACGTGGCTATTACAACATGTTCAGAATGAAGAGGCGCACATGTCAAATCATGTTCCAAGCAAGCGAAAGTACAGTACAAATGTTGATTGAGTGTAACATCACTATATCAAGAGCGTGGGGTATAGTTGACCTCTTTAGGAATCAGTCAATCAATTTGCAGATTGACAATGTTGGCTCATAGGGTCCAAGTTGTATATATATATATATATATATATATATATATATATATATATATATATAAAAAAATGGCCAATTTGTTTTTATACTGTTCATTAAAAAAGTCCAAAATAATCATTGTAGAGCAGTTGCCCATTAGATGAAAGTGGTCTTAGGGGGTTAGGGTTGAGAGCTTTTCATCATGTTGTGTTAGCCATTCTGTACTTAAGTCTGTTGTTTCTCTGCCAACCATTCAAAAAGGAGAAAGATACAGTGACAGCATGGGGGGAAAGAGCTATGGCAGTGGCTGGATTGGAGAGGATTTGAATCTGAAAATAGAAGCACCTGTTCATCTGGGATTAGTCGGAAGCGCGGCTCTATTTTGGTTCATTGGACATGTTTCCTCATCGCACCGTCTGCCTGTCCCGGTGTCTGAGGTGAACTATCTGATTTCAGGTTAATGTGAGAAGTGGATAAGCTGGACAGACACCAAGCAGCACAGATGTGTTAAACAGCTGGGAATGAGAATACATGAATCAATGACAGTGTTCAGTCTTATTCCTATCTGTAAAGTATCAGCTTGAACAATAGTGGGCTGATGCAATCCAAAGTTCTTGCATGTTGATTTATATCCTTAAAATCAATAATTACATGACTCCTGGCTGTTTTTCCCTGCCCTCTTATGTTAATGTTTGAGATTGTCCCACCCAGACTGTTCCAGGGGGCTTTTTCTGTCGGTCTTCAACCTCTTGTCTAAATCTCTGCAGTTTGTTCCATCTATAATTGGGTCAGTGTGTATTTATAGCAGGCTTTCCACAACATAAAGAAAAGTTAGTTGTTCTAAGTGGCTTTGAATGGCCCTCTTATTAAAGACTAGCCTATTTTCCCTCTTGACTGCTCTGAAAAAGCGAGAACTCACCAGAACAACTTTCTTCCACTTTATCCATTGCCGGGTCACAGGTGCAGCAGTATAGGCAGAGCTGCCTTCCCTCTCCACACACTTTCTCCAGCTCATCTGGGTGAATCCTGAGGTGTTCCCAGTTCAGCTGAGAGACATAGTCCTTCCAGTTTGACCTGGGTCTTCCCCATGATCCTTTCCCAGTGGAACATATCTCCCCAGGGAGGAGATTCCCAAGCAGTGGCTCTACTCAGAGCTTCTCCCGTGTGACTGAGCGTAGCGCCCAGCTACTCTGGGGGGAAAACTAATTTTGTGTTCTCATCCTTTTGGGCAAAGCTGAAATTGGAGAACCAAGTCAAACAGTGACTGTGGTGAGTACTGTGATGGAGATGTCTTGGAATACCAGGTGCCACAGTGGGGTTGCTGAGGCTGTAAAATGATTGGTGGTGGTCAAAGGGGGCAATGGCTCAAATTGACAGCCTCACTTTGTGAATTGGGTGGCAGCTCTGATTGCCACCCCCTTGACCCAGAAATGGATAATGAAGGTATGAAAATGAAATAAAATGTTCATTAGTTCTCCCCAAGGTACCTGTGGCTATTTAGTACTACTGTATAGCCACAGGTAGTAGTAACTTGGTCCATTCACTCCGTGCTCAGATTGAATGGATTAAGTTAACTTAAAGCTGCATTACCCGACTTTATTTTTATATTCATTACGAAAATTAAATCCATATCCATGCAATGCATTGAGATTTGGGATATACGTCCTTTTGGAGAAAAAGTAGCGCAGATTTGTGCTGGCGTGTCATTTTATTATAGATCGATAGATCGTTGTTTGATGCAACAAGGAAGAGAATGTGTTTCGGGTCCAGATTGTGACCAATCACAGCGGACCACTGGCCCCCGCTTTCTTGAGAAAAGCTACAGTTCTCTGGTTAGCACAGACAGCTGAGGTAAACAAGCGGCGGAGGCTAACCTGAAACTTCCCGTGTCTTTGTTAACGGTTACTGCTTACTCAGCAAAACAGCCATCCAAAAGAAAGTCTCGTTCCTCTGCGCTTCCCGGTTCAATCATTCTATGGTCACGCCATCCACGTTCAAATGTCTATAATGTGAGACGTGAGCTCCGTATATACAATTAGCATGTGAGCGCAGGTTGAGGGGGAGGGGGGTAGTGGGGGCAAAAGCTCCGTGCGGAGAGGACGAGCAGAGAGAGCGAGCTCGTCGCTCTCATTCGAAAATGTCTCAAAGTCAGTTAGTGCAGCTTTAAGGTAAAGTTTATTGTCTTAATGTTACTAGCTCTCCATCACCACTCATTTGAATTATTATTCACTTTTTATATTTTCTATTGAACCTAAATAATGCATTGCTTTGACATGTTTTCCCACTAAGATCCATGTGTTTCCATTATTGCATAGTTGACAAATGTATCATCCTCAATGTGCAACAGGAGATGATACATTTGTTTCAATAGAGACCACTGATCTTGATCCTGATCCTCTGCCAGCTCTCTGCTTCTCTCCTCTCCTCCAGCTGCAGCGGAAGACGAGCCCAGAAAAAATCACTTAACAATTCTTTAATAAAATCCACTCATCCATAATGTGTGCGTGTTGCTAGTGTCAAAGCCATAAGTGAGCAGCTTTGGATTCCCCGTTATTGAATCAGCAGTGACCTGACATCAGCGTTTATCTGTTTGCATATGGTGCTTGTTACTCTGCCCATGTTCACAGGGGAGAGAGTCAAAGCCGATCAGGCAATTTCATTAGAGGTCACAATTGCCGGCTAGAACTGATTAAAACAGATGGGACAGATGGTGTTACGGCTCCAGGTCTGGGCCGTTTTGCGCAAGCACCTCCTCCCTCTCCCGGTGCGTCTCTCTCTGTCTGTGTGTCCGGCTCGTTCCCGCGAAGTCTAGGGCCCGCCTCCCGGATGCTGCCATTCGCCCAGAGTCCTCCTGTATGGCCAATAGGAGCTCCGCCCGAACCAATCTGCGCCACCAGCTGACCTGCCCGCGGCCAATAAAACAGCGGTGTGACGTCCAGACGGGGCGGCTTGTTTCCCATACAAGTGCGCCAGCCTTGAGAGACAGACGTGTGGTGGAGAGCTGACACCTTTTGAGAGACGTTACATGACCGTACGAGACCTTACGAGACCTTATTAGAATTGTGGTGATTTGTTACCTGTCGAAGGAACCCCTTTTGTTTAGTTTTCTGACTCTAAGTTTTGTCCAGGACGTTACCTTTTCTGCCTAGAAATAAAAGGCCATTTACTTTCGCCAATTACATCTGGTTGTGTATGTTGCATGTCCTTTCCCCTTCTCAGAGCCAAGCTTAGGGCTGTAACATTTATTGGGGGCTCGTCCGGGATACTGTTTTAAAACATTCCCGACAACAGTGAATGGACATTTACTTTGGGTAGGTGAAGGTGAATTGTATTTGGGCATTTTCAAAATGGTGTTTGACTTCGAGGCCTTCGTGGAAGAGCCTTCCCTTGAGGAGTTGAACAAATGCAAAAAGAAAGACCTCATAGCACTTGCTGTGCATTTTAATATTCTATATTCCAAACAGAGCAGAAAGGACGAGATCCGGGCGCTGCTTGTGGATGGCTTGGTGGAGTTGGGCCTGCTCTCGCAACCAGTGGCTTCTGAGGGGACTGATGAGAGTATCGTGCCTGCGGGAACCCCAAAGCGGGAGGAGAAACCTGGACCTTCAGATGGTTCTCCCCCTGGGACAAAGAGAGCGGGCGCGGGGGTTGATGAACCGCCTAACCCTCTGTTCACCCTCCCCCGGTATGACCCACACTCTCCTCCCACCTCTCCTCGGTCCTTGGATGCTGCCCGACGCGCTGTGCGCCTGGCACGCATTAAAATGGAAGCTGAGCAGAAGGAACGGGACCGCAGTGCCGAGCTCGAATTTCAGGTGCGCAAGCTCGAGATAGAGGCTGACAAAGACGTCAAACTGCGCCGCCTTGAGCTGGAGGCTGAAGGTCGCCTCCCTCCCAGTCCTACTCCCGGCCCTGGACCCACCGCGCAGGCTGCAGCCCACTCCCCATCCGTTCACGGCGGCGCCCTCGATGTAAGTAAATTTATTCCCCTTGTACCCCCCTTCAGAGAGGGAGAAGTGGATTCATATTTTGCTGCATTCGAGCGCATCGCCTCGGCCTTAAACTAGCCACGCGATATTTGGCCTCTTTTGCTCCAATGTAAAATGTATGGGAAAGCCCAAGAAATCATTGCAGCCATGCCTCTTGCTGACAGTCTGCGGTACGAAGCAGTCAAGAGCGCCATACTAAGGGCATATGAGCTGGTCCCTGAGGCCTACAGGCAAAGGTTCCGAAGCCATAAAAGGGCCCAAAGCCATACCTACATTGAGTTTGCGAGGGAGAAAGGAATGTTATTTGACAAGTGGTGTTCGTCTGCTAAGGCTCAGAGTTTTGCTTCGTTACGTGACCTTATGTTGCTGGAGGATTTTAAGAGAAGCCTCCCGGACCGTGTTGTGGTGTATCTAAATGAGCAGAAGGTGAAGACCATTTCGGATGCTGCTGTTTTAGCTGACGAATTTGTGCTGACTCACAAATCCGTATTTGGCGGAGGGCCTGACAGGCCTCGCGCACCTGCTCCTAAGCCTACTTCTCCGAGGACTGACAGGACGGGCCCGGACGAAAGGGAATGCTACTACTGCCGCACTGCTGGGCATCTTGTTGCCACGTGTCCTGTACTCAGACGCAGACCAGGCTCTCCGAAACCTAAAGGTCTTGGGCTAATCAAAACTGAGGTTAGCCTAGCTCCTAGCACCTGCCAAGACCCAGATTCGTGTTTTGACCCATTCATCTTTGCGGGAATAGTTTCTCTGCCTGGCAACGCACCTGACCAAAGACCCATCCGCATTTTGAGAGACACTGGCGGGTCTCAGACGTTAATCTTAGCCAGTGCTCTCCCCTTTTCTGAGCAGTCCTCGTGCGCGTACAAAACTGTGCTACGGGGAATAGAAATGGGTTACTGCCCGCAGCCAGTACATTTGGTGCACATCGAGTCCAAACTCGTAAATGGGACATTTCCCGTTGCTGTTTGCAACGCGTTGCCAATTCCAGGGATTCACATGTTGATGGGAAATGATGTGGCCGGGGGCCTGGTAACTCCACCCTTGGAAGTGGCTGATTCCCCGCTGGACAGTATGGATATTTGCTCGACTGAGATTTATCCTGCGTGCGCGGTTACGCGTGCCCAAGCCCGCCGTAATCTCGGAGATGATGTTAGTTTGTCTGACACATTTTTATCTGACATTTCAGCAGATTTTGTGCCTACAGCTGAGACCCAGGTTTCCCAAAGCTCGACTCCGCGGAAGGCCGCGTCTCCAAAAATTGACAACCCAGCTCTGCCTTGTTCACGTGGGCGGCTCATTGCGGAGCAGAGATCTGACCCAACGTTACACAACTTGGTTTCCAGTGTGGTGAGTAGCGAACAATGTGACAAAGCTCAGATCTGTTACTTCTTGCGCGAGGGTGTGTTAATGCGTAAATGGTCTCCCCACGTCACCCAAGACAATGTGTTTGCGGTCTACCAAATAGTTGTGCCCTCCTGCTACCGTAATCAGATTACAGCAGTGGCACATGAAAGCGTGTGGTCGGGGCACCTAGGCGTTACAAAAACTTACAAATCGCTGTTAAGACAGTTTGTGTGGCCTGGGATGAAAAAGGACGTGGCCGAGTTTTGCCGCAGCTGTCACGTGTGTCAGATGGTGGGAAAGCCCAACCAGCCAATCCTAGCAGCTCCTTTACATCCCATACCTGTTATTGATCAGCCTTTTGACCGCGTCATAGTTGACTGTGTAGGGCCTCTGCCCCGCACACAGAATGGTAATGTATTTCTACTTACTATAATGTGTGCTGCCACGCGTTTCCCAGAGGCCATCCCGATGCGTAAAATCACCGCGCAATCCGTAGTCAAGGCGTTGCTGAAATTCTTTTCAGTATTTGGACTCCCAAAATTCATACAGACAGACCAGGGAGCGAATTTCAAGTCTAATCTGTTTGCACAAGTGGTTCAAACACTTGGGGTAAAACATGTTCTGTCCAGCGCGTATCACCCTGAGTCACAGGGTGCTCTGGAGCGTTGGCACCAGACGCTTAAATCCATGCTGCGCAAGTACTGTATGGAAACTGAAAGAAATTGGGATCAAGGGATCCCGTTCGTGCTGTTTGCAGCCCGGGATGCGACTCAGGAGTCTTTGGGGTTCAGCCCCGCTGAGTTGATATTTGCCCACACTCCCCGGGGCCCGCTCAAAGCGCTGAAGGAAGCTTTTCTTTCTTCACCCCACCCCTCACGATGGGAAATCACGGATTTCCGTAAAGTTAACGCTGTCACTGTCCCTGACTCATATCCCATGCCCCGCATGGAGGATTGTGTGGACAACCTCGGTCCTGCTAAATACGTCACTAAATTGGATTTGTTGAAAGGTTACTGGCAAGTCCCGCTGACTAAGCGCGCGTCGGAAATATCGGCGTTTGTAACGCCTGATTACTTCCTGCAATATACCGTGATGGCGTTTGGAATGTGCAACGCTCCCGCAACTTTTCAACGCCTGATTAATGTCGTTCTACAGGGCCTGCCCAGTTGTAATGCTTATCTGGACGACTTATTGATCCACTCCGTTACCTGGAAGGAACACGTACACGTCCTACAGCAGGTGTTTTCCAGATTGGCAGCTGCCTCACTCACCCTAAACCTCGCTAAATGTGAGTTCGGGAAGGCTCACGTTACATATTTGGGACGTGAGGTTGGCCAGGGCCAAGTCCGACCTATTGAGGCTAAAGTTTCCGCGATAGACGCCTATCCGCCTCCCACCACTCGGCGTGAGCTGCGCCGCTTCCTGGGCATGGCTGGGTACTACCGAAGTTTCTGCCGAAATTTCTCATCAGTGGTTGTCCCACTGACCACCTTATTGAGTCCTAAAGTTGATTTTAAATGGACTACTGAGTGTCAATCCGCTTTTGACAGCGTGAAGTCTCTGCTGTGTCATGCACCTGTCCTCGCTGCTCCTGACCCGTTGCCCCCTACAAGCTTGAAGTGGACGCTAGTGGGGTCGGAGCAGGTGCAGTCCTGATGCAGGAGGATGCGAGTGGGGTTACCCATCCGGTAGGTTACTTCTCCCGAAAGTTTAATACACACCAGCTCCGCTACTCCACCATAGAAAAGGAGACTTTGTCACTGTTGCTCGCTCTCCAGCACTTCGAGGTGTACCTTGGGTCCAGTTCTGTGCCAATCATTGTGTTTACCGACCATAACCCTGTAACCTTTTTGTCCCGCATGTATAATCACAACCAGAGACTGATGCGGTGGGCCTTGATGGTGCAGGACTTTCCGTTAGAGATTCGACATAAAAAGGGATCGGAGAATGTGTTTGCCGATGCCTTGTCCAGATAAGTGTGGTGGCTGCATAAATTTGTGTGTGTTCTGATGTTTGTTTTGTTCAGAGAAAAAATGTTAGGGTGGACAGTGTCTTGAGGGGTGGGGTGTTACGGCTCCAGGTCTGGGCCGTTTTGCGCAAGCACCTCCTCCCTCGGTGCGTCTCTCTCTGTCTGTGTGTCCGGCTCGTTCCCGCGAAGTCTAGGGCCCGCCTCCCGGATGCTGCCATTCGCCCGGAGTCCTCCTGTATGGCCAATAGGAGCTCCGCCCGAACCAATCTGCGCCACCAGCTGACCTGCCCGCGGCCAATAAAACAGCGGTGTGACGTCCAGACGGGGCGGCTTGTTTCCCATACAAGTGCGCCAGCCTTGAGAGACACACGTGTGGTGGAGAGCTGACACCTTTTGAGAGACGTTACATGACCGTACGAGACCTTACGAGACCTTATTAGAATTGTGGTGATTTGTTACCTGTCGAAGGAACCCCTTTTGTTTAGTTTTCTGACTCTAAGTTTTGTCCAGGACGTTACCTTTTCTGCCTAGAAATAAAAGGCCATTTACTTTCGCCAATTACATCTGGTTGTGTATGTTGCATGTCCTTTCCCCTTCTCAGAGCCAAGCTTAGGGCTGTAACAGATGGTGAGACAAGGAGGTGGACTGTCCAAGCAGAGACTTTAAGTGATTTTTTGTTGTCTGCAATATTGAGTAAATAAACCAAACGCTGTTGTATAAAGGGGTCCTTGTCGTTGCGCACAGGTTTCCACCATGTTATGAGCCGATATGTCAGGTAAAAACCTCTGATACCCAAGAGCATGTGCATAATTGCAACCTCCCCCATGATCCGTTCTAGAGCAGCACAGATAAAGCAGGGTGGTGTTTATGAAATAGTCAAATCTATAGAACACCAATAGATTTTAAAAGGAAAAAACACACAAGATTATTAACAAAATTAGGCCTTTGTGAAAGCTGTGGGTTCCCAGTCAGCTGAGTGTGAGGTGTATTCTAAAGCAATAAAATGCATTATGGTGATCGATGGCACGGAACTATATGGTTGTTTTAAGAAAATTACAAACTAGAATCACAGCAGGCCATGTTACTATCATTGGTCTATTTGTCTAAGTAAATATTTACTAATTCCTCAACAGCAGCAAATCACCTTTTAAAAATGTGGATGGATGCCCCCCAATAAAACTTAACTCAATTATTTGTGTCACATAAATTGTAAAAAATGTCAGCTGTAGCTGGGAAACTAGCAATGTCCAAGTTATAGTTTGGTGCTGTGCTCCATTGTTGAGGTCAGCAGATTTCTAAATGGTCCCAAAATCTCTAATTGAAGTACTGTTGTGTTGTGTCCCTGGGAGGCCAATGTCCATGTCCTATATTTTCAGCCGTTCACCACATGGATTGTAAGAACGAACAAAGAACTGAGTCATGATGGACAGAGTGCCTCTCTTCATTCCCTTTTACTATGTGTGCCTTAATTCGGCAAGTGAGTATTGCATTCAATAAACAACCCCTGCATCATAGATATAGAATGTCGATGTCAAAATGAAATCCGTTTTGCTTATTGTAAATGGTGTCATGGTTGTTCAGCTTGTTGTATCCACATCATAGCCCATACAGGAGATGGGTCAGCCCAATTTACTGACCCCCCACCCCCTGTCTGTGCCCT